TTCGTAATAGAGAGCGGAGGAGCAAGAAAAATGATCGAAGACATGATCAACAGAGCGGGAAAAAAGTTTTACGGCAGGGATTCGATCCGTGCGCCGACAGTTCCTGGACCACACGCCAATGCACTCGCCACTCAGCTGCCGCCTGCTTCTGTGGGCGGAAACGTCAGAACTCGGTCCTGCTTTACGAGTCTTGGTCTTCCGGATTGCCCGCGTTCAGGTCGGGTCAAGTCCACCTCCTCGACGCGCTGCAGCCCAGGTCGAAATCTGGCCAGAAACACGGGAAAAGGCCAATAAATGGAACCTAACATAACCTCCGCGCGCCCTGGATGTTCATTTTCTGGCCATTTCCCTTGTTTCTGGCCGCAATGAACTAATTTATATTGAAATAGAGACTTTTTTTTTAAACTTAATTATGCATCTAGATTTTAAGTTAAAAATTGCTGTTTTTCGCCTTACTTTTCCAGTTTTACAAGCCTCTTATCTTACACACATTTTTTCATGTGACGCGCAACATTCGCAACACCCGCATGTGCCGCACTTGTCCAGGTGTGGGGGGCAGCCGGTGGGGCTCGGTAGCCAGGAGGGCTCGCCCTGCAGGGCACGGCCGTCAGCGTGGGTGCCCGGGCGGGAATGGGCGAGGCTCGGTGGGGAGGAGGAGGCCCGGCGAGGAGGAGGAGGCCCGGCGGGGAGGAGGAGGCCCGGCGAGGCCGCGCAAACCACGGCCGTATACACACCATAGGCCGCAGCCGCGTCACCACCACCACCCCGCGACAAAAACACTGCCGAGACGAGAACGTCCAGAGATGAGGGTCGACCGGGGTCGGGCTTCAGACTTTGCACTCTGTATGCGGGTGAGACGGCAGTCGGCAGACATGCAGACACGTCGACGGAGGAGTTACCCACCGCGCGGCTCTCAATATTCAAATTTCCATGCGTTGTTTTTAAAAATGTAATTGCAAACGAAGAGTGGTGCCAGGGGGCACTGCTGGAGCACCGCTAGAGCTGCTCGGGCAGCAGTGCTGGAGCTCTGGTAGGGAAACTGCTAGAGCCAAGGGGGCAATAACTCCCTTTTCATGTGTACACATGATTCCCGAAATACTTGATTGCCAGTGATTCCCGGCCGCTTTTCTTTATTTCTTAGGTTTTCTCGAGGGGGCAATAACTCTCTTTTGAAGTGTACACATGATTCCCGAAATTCTTGATTCCCGGTGATTCCCGTCCGCCTGTAATTATTACATAGGTTTTTCGGGGGGTTTTAGTGGTATAAAACGCTTATTTTGACTGATTTGTACTTGTTTCTCTAGTTTCCCGCTTATTCTAAGCGATTTCTATTGATTTTGACCAATTTTTATCCTGATGATTCCCAGACAGGTGTACACATGATTCCCGGAGTTATTGCCCCCTCGGGTTTTCTAGTGGTAGGAAACGCCTATTTCGACTGATTTGCACCAGTTCCACTAGTTCCCCGCTTAGTTAAAACGATTTCTTTTGCTTTCGATTAATTTCAATCCTGGCGATTCCCAGTCCCAGGCGGGTGTACACATGGTTCCCAGAGTCGTCCCCCCCCCCCCTCTACTCCTGGCTGGAGCGCTCCTGTAGCTCATGAAGGGCAACTGCTGGAGCACTGCTGAAGCGCTGCCGAAGCGCTGCTGAAGTACTGCTGAAGCGCTGCTGGAGCGCCACTGAAGCGCGGCTAGAGTGCTGCTGGAGCGCCGGACAATTGCGGGGGTAGGCAACCCACCCGCACGACCGTGAGCGTGTTGCCTACCTCCGGGATGCACGGCGCTCGGGCCGCCTCCGCCTCTGCCGCGCCGCGCTGGTGCTGTACCCTGCTGGGCCTGGCGCGCGCGCTATCAGGTATAGCTCGTGTCGGGCGCTGGATGTTTTTCGGCGCTGTGAACGGCGTCGGCCCCGCAGTGCTCCGCACCTCCGCGCTGCTCGTATTCTAAGGCCCCGGCCGCCACACGCCCCGCCCCGCCCCGCCCCGCCCCGCCCCGCCCGGCCGGAGCAGCGCGCCGTTAATGCGACGCAATTACGCCGTTCTCAGACGGACATTATGACGCGCGTTCGTCGCCTTCAGTTTTTATGACCGCATCCAACAATTCAGGCGCGCGCGTCCGTGCCGTGTCCGTGCCGTGTCCTGCGTGCGCTGTCGGCCGTGCGCGCGGTCACCCACCCCCGCACCATTGTGTGGCCCAGGTGTGGCGGCGTGGCGCTGCGTGGGCGGCGCTGCAACAACAGCACTATCGCGCCGCCCCGCCCCGCCCCGCTCATATTCGCGTGATGAAGTGTCGAAGGCGCCTGGCCGCCCTCCTGGCCCGCCCTGCCCGCCCACTCGCAGGACCCGACCACCGCACCACCGCCGCCACCGCCGCCCGCCTCGTGACGAAGGAGGTCTGTCGGGCCAAATGTGGCCCGGCACGCCCAGCCCGACCCGGACTCTTTGCCTCCCACACCTGGCTGTATCTCTATTAGCACGTCCAGGCGGCGCGCGCCACGCCCCGCCACGCCACGCCAAGCCCTGGTGTCTGGCGGGGACCCGCCCACGCCCCCGCGCCCGTGGGTTCAGTTTTTCGTCGTTGAATTTCTCTCTGCTGCGTACTTCATTATGACTTACCGTTGGCGTGTTAAATGGGTCGTGCACGCCACGATGGCTGATTCGCCGCGCACGCCCTTCCGCACTTACCTAGACTGTGCCGCGTGCGGGCGGGTTGCCTACTCGCTCGGCCCTAAAAGGCGCCGTCAGGTAGAGACGACATGCGTTGCGTCGTGTCTCTCGTAGCTTCTTGAATTCTTCCTGCATTTTTGACGTGTCTGTTTGTGTATTTTTATATTTTTGAACATTTTCTTGTATGCTTTGGGTGTACTTGTATTAGCCTCCTGGTATTTATTTTGTATCTGCTAAATTCCATCTTTTATTCCGAAAATTGTTTTCTAGCAATTTTTGAGTCGTTGTTAATTATTTGAGAGGTACGGGTAGGATTGATTAAAATCTTTCGTGTAAATGAGAAAGAGTGGTTTATTGAAAATAGGACACTACCAGGGTTCGGGCAGTGCCAAAACACTAGCAGAACAGGGACATTTTGAGCAAACTGTGAAAAATTAAAACATGAGTAAGCTTCCATCCAAGCGCAACTTAAAACATTTAACATCTACATTATCACTTTTACATTACAAGTATAAACTTCTTTTAAATTAATGGCTTTTGGACTTTCTTGTGTTTTGAACACCAATCAAAAGCAACTTTTACTCAACAACAGTTATTAATTTAAAAATAAATTACAATTGGTTACACTATGTACAGGTCCATCTCCAGTATACTATTCCATCAACGAACTTTATCCTTCAGTTACAGCCATACAATCCTTCTGCACATCAGGATGTCTCGAGCGACCTCAACGCCACACGGTCGTATTGCTCTGCTGCGTGTGCCAATTTACGACATACGAAACATTACGTGTTTCGTATACAATAGAGACAAGAACAGAAATTTGAGACAGTTGAAAGTAAAAGGCTGATATTGTTGTTGAAGACAAAAGAAAGAGAGCGAGAGCAGTCTTCGAAACCATCACGTTAAATTAAACATTCACAGACATTGGAAAGGTTTGGCGAAAAACAAAACATTAATTCGACATCATTCGACTATCATCGTCGTAGTTAAAAAGAAAAAAAGGCATTGCCTTCACAACTTTGCATTATAAGTACGTCACAAGTAAGACAGAAACTAATCCGCGTTCAGAACGCAGTTACGTCAATAATAAATTATAAAAAGGTAACTAACAAGATGCGATATTCGCCTTCGTACCGCGCCTCCACAATTAAAAAAAGTACAAAAAAGACGACTGCTTCTCCCAGCGCGTTCAGTACATCAGCTAAGCATTATCAAAAATAACTTCCTATAGCCTGTGAAGATTACGACCAGCGTACCTCACTCGGCCAAACATCTCATTTTCACTGAGTAGAGAAACTATCAACATTTACGAAATTAAACACTAGGAAATGTTACAGAGCAGTAGGGATACAGAACAATGCATGCAGATGCAGAGCGTTATAAAACTCATGAAGTGAAATGACTAACAGTTGAGGGGAATACAAAAGGCACATTGACTACAAACTCAACAAGTAAGATTCATCTATCACTGACATATAATTCTGAAATCAAAAGGGCTAATTGCTCATTGTGTTTTGTACGTATATGAGAAAGCAAAATATGCACTTAGTGCAACTGAAAATAACAATATATTTGGTCCTACAGAATAACAACAATTTCTACTGACAAATACTATACCGATCTAGTTATCGATCTTGAGGCTAAACAAAACACACATACAACCATCAGGCCAAAGTATCAAAATAATTTTACTTTGTTTACTTTGTCATATTATATGCCTTCCTTCCTATGTATCCGAATGGAATGCTGGATGAGCAAACTTAGTTACTGAACAGTCATTTGAGCGTCAGCTCGGTATACACCTCACTTTAGAGCGTCATTCCAAAACACAGAATGAGTGTTGAGTTTAACCATCGTATTAGAAGGCAAACACACACAAAATGGTTAATATTACAGAAAACATGTGATGGGGGGAAATTTTTACAACACACAGATCATTTAAATTGATTACGTGAGTTTATATGGGACCAAACCGTGATTTGTACTCAACCTTTCAGTTGCTGTCTACAAAAACATGTGTATGGAGGCTTTGGTTTATCGCAATAAGTATAAATTATGTAAAATTTCTACATTGCCCACAATTTGGACTTACAGGTGAATGCCATCACCGATTTGTTCCCTTTTATTTCTAATCACTTGCCAGCAAGTGTTACTACATAAACAACACGTGATTACAAGTATTTTATTCTTAGGGACAATTTAGCTCAAAACAAACGTTAGATACATGCAGAATCTACAGTCAAACACAGAATTATAATAACGCTCATACTACTGATCATATCAAACCACATTACACAAAATCTATCATAAACACAAAGAATACTGTGCAGACAAGAATTATATATTGGATTGTGCGCACTAATGCCATAGTCTAATTTATACTGACGTTTACAATTGTTGAGAAGCAAATGAGATCTTCAAGAGAGAGCAAAACTGTCCAAGAATCATAAATTAAGTAAATAAACTCATTTCACAAATGAAAGGTACTAGAGAGAAAAGCTTTGGCGCAGGCAGAGCTGCAAACATTTTTCAACGATTCGCCACACCCTACCTTCACTGTCATCAATAAATACGCTTGAAAGAAGGGGTCACTCATGACTGTCCCGGAAA